CTGGGATCCTGTTCAATACATAAATGTACTAGTGCAACTAATCGGTCAAGACAAACCTTACGGTTTACACTACAACCGTTCCGATGGGTTGTTCAATTCCATCTAGGTTGTGAACCAACGATTCTTGTTTTGCAAGTAACTGATATAGTGATCTTCGGTACGCCCGATGACGACCCACTTATCTACATGCAAAACAACAGAACGTGGAACTTATTTAACCAAACATAATTCTCATTCATCAAGGAATAACAAGTGTAATATCCGCTAAAGCAAAGCTTAAGTATATAACACCAACAGATGGATCCCGAATGCGGCGGCGGGGGGAGTTGCTTGGTTTTGTTTGTATACCGAGCAGTTTGCTCTACTCGTCATTGCTAAAGGAAGAAGAGAAGAGAAAGAAAGGAGAACACAACCGAGCGGGTTGTTATTCGTCATTGGTACTCGGTTTCTCCCGAATACCCAGCAGGTTGTTCCGCGCGATATGGCTCAGTTCTTTGTCATAAAACCGAGCAGATGGTATTCACAAATAGTGCTTGGTTTCGCCCGAATACCGAGCAGGATGTTCCGCGCGATGTGGCTCGGTTTTTTGGTCATAAAACCGAGCAGGTGATACGCACGTTTGGTGCTCGGTTTCGCCCGAATACCGAGCAGGATGTTCCGCGCGATATGGCTCAGTTTTTTGTCATCAAAACCGAGCAGGTGGTATTCACATTTAGTGCTTGGTTTCTCCCGAATACCGAGCAAGTGGTTCCGCGCGATATGGCTCGGTTCTTTGTCATACAACCGAGCAGACGGTATTCACAATTAGTGCGCGATTTCTCTCAAAAATTGAGCAGATTATGCCGCATGCTATGGCTCGGTTTTTGCTAAGGTACCGAGCGATAAGATGGGCGTAAATATATGCTCGGTTTTTCATGAACCTAGCAGGCAGGCTGGCGCGATTTATAGGTGATGTGCATAATGTTGGCTTGGTCTCATTTATGGACCGAACAGACCGTAGGGGAATATGGCTAGTCCTTTGCGGGAGAATTTCGGGCAGCATACGATATACCATCCGTGGATAATAGGCTTGGTTTGGCTTATAGACCGCGCAGGTTACTCGTGGGACGGTCCTCGAGCATGAATGACATGCGACAAGCTCGTCAAAATAATAATTCAACACGATCGACACTTACGTTTCATTATAATCCGTAATTATCAAACGAGTCCATGGGGCTTAAACAGCTTTGGCTCTTTTGATAATGGGGGGGGCTAGATGATATGGCACATAAGTGTGAAATGGTTCACTTGGTAGACGCTCGATCCGGTTTTTATGGACAAGCCCGGTTTAGTAATGAGGCGGTCCATGGAAGCCTTAGTGCTCGTTTTCTTCAAGGTCATGCAGATTAGTTTTGCCAAGTGGGGTTGCTCGGTCCATTTAGTAAACACGGATTGGTGAAGAGTGATTTGCTCGGCCCATGTGGTGGTGGTATAATGGGCTCGGCCCATAAAAGAATAAGGGTAATGAAGAATTAGAGGAATGGGACGGAAGAGAGGTGAAGCGTGAGGCACAAGCTAAGCCTTCAGGTATAAATACGCAGACGAGGAATATGGTAAGGGAGGACACTCTACAAACCCTAACCCTACTTACAGTTATGTACGATTCTCTTATACTCTTCTATTCCTTACTGACTTGAGCGTTGGAGAGTTACCGTCGGGAGCACCTCCCGGCGTCATTGCAGGTCTTCGAGAGCTTGAACCAGACGAGGAACGGAAGGAAACCGGGTTGAGGTGTGGAAGTGTTATCAGTGTATAATGTTTATAAATTATGGTGTTCGATATAGTTTGGCTAGCTAGGTTGAATATTCATAGTTTAATGGCTAGATTTGTGACTTTAATCCGTAATTGTTATTGTCTCGTTTCGTTAGTAGTAAACTAGAGGTCGTGCATCTCTAGGGTAACACGAACATAAGTTAAATGGTCCGAGCTTGTGCGTCCATTGTTTAGACTGATCTATTTTCCTAGGAATTAATGCTGCTAGTGGATTAAATCTATAGAGCTTATTCTAGGATTGTTCACTAGTTAGGTTTAGTCGAATAACCTATTTCTATTACATATCCGGTAAGGGAAAATTCGGTTAACAGAACTTGTTGTTAGCTAGGGTTGGTAATTCATTAGCAATTTAAAGAAGGCGTTGAAATTAATTAACGATAGATTTAGATTGGGTGATAGCTGAATCGAAAACTGAACTTCTCTTATTTTATTTTATTTTTATTTGATTTTCTTACTTTTAGTTTTACAAATCAATCCTCCTACCTTTATTGCTTTTGTAGTTTATTTCAATTAATACAAAAATTGTCACGACTTAATTCCTACTCCTCGTGAGCTGGACCCTTACTCGCCGCTACTATTAGTCAGTAGAGGTTAGTTTAGGAAACTTTATAAATTTAAATTTTGCCGTGTCGCGACGCGCGGTCAATGTGTTCACCGTGGGTAGGGCTACAGTCAGTTTTCTTATTGAGAATTATATTAATGATCCATCAGATTCGTTCTCGTATATCTTCAATTTAAATTTTGTTTACAAGTATTTAAATCATCAAACGATAAAAGGTGGGAGCAATCATAATTCTCATTATATAACAATCTCGTATTGTGGATAATATATGCTTCTATGGTTTAACAAACTGATATGAACTAATGCAAGGTGCTTGTCACTGAGTTTATTTATATTTTGTTGAGTTTGACCCTTACTAGATTATCTTTATGTAATATATTTACTTCCTCAGGTGAAAAAAAAAAAAAAAAGAAAAAAAAAAGAGTGAGATTTTATGCTAAGTTTTAGTTAAACCGCAGGTGTTTCTTGGTCAGGCATGAGTTTGTTGAGTTTTAAGACATAGAGCTTAACAATAATTAGTTGCAAATTTGTTCGGACATTTTACAAACCTCCTTACATATCGGATTCCACTGGTAAGAAAAGCAAAGGAAATTGAAAGACCACATTATCCGAAATATAATGAAAAAAAAAAAAAACTGAAAACAAAGCGTACCCCACAAATACTACCATTATTTTCTTATATTATTTTATTAAATGAAAATAAAAAAATTGGGGACACGGAATTATCGCAAAATTTTAAAGAAAATTCCCTCGCTTGGTGACCCAACGTTTTTCTCGATAGTGCAAACGAGGAAAGACCACATGATTCCCATCTCACTTCCACGTGGCGGCATCCTGGATCGCTAGAAGAACAGGTCTTCAGGCAGTTACTTTCTATAGCCGGTGTTTATTACCGAAGGCACAGGTGACATGGGTCAATTGGTATAAGAGTTGGGGTTTAAGCACAGGTGCTGAGGGGTGGTTTTTTTTGTTTTTTGTTTTTTATTTTTCCTTTATTAACAGGGTTTTTGGCTATCTTTTTCACAAGAAAAAACAAAGGGACAGAACAAATGGAAGTTAAATTATGATGGGTTTCCTTTTTCTATGAGAATGTAGATGGTTTAGAGGATTTTGGGTTGTGGAAAGATTTAAGCTCTGTTTTTAGAAATAAGAATAAAAATCTGGTTTTTTGTATTGCTAAATTCTGGTGGGAATTTGTTGCTTGAACGAAATCATGCTTGGCTCGAAGCAAATTTTATGGTGACTTGAAATGATGTTGGCTGTTTGAAGGTGAGATAGATGATCAAATATGTGATCCGTCGCAGTTTGGTAAAGTTTGGGTCTTTGGTTCAAAAATCTGTGATAATCATCGCTAATGTTGATGGAAAAAGTTCGGAAAACTTCTCTTTTGATGTGAAAATATGGCGCTTTTACTTTCGAAATTCCTTGGTCGTATTTTTCTTTCTTCAATTTTTCGCCCATTTGTTTAACATTTGCATTTCCAAACTTGTTTGAAAATTTGCGTCTGATCTGGGATTTTGCCATGCTAAGTATTTTTGTGATTTCGAGAAAGATTCTGAACTTCCGATGAAAAGTTATTCCTTTTCGGTATTTGTTCCATAGATTTGAGATCATGTACATGCAACTGCCTCAATTACAAATGCTTTTAAGTTTTCTTGCAAATGGTGGGATTTTTGAGGTTTCTGTAATTCCTCTCTTCAAAGCTTTTCCTTTTGGAATGACCTTTTTTTCATGCTTTCTGTAATTCCTTTATGTGGAGAACAGTAAATGTTTGGTGCGGAGGGTCATAAATTTAGTCACATTTTCGATTTATATATCTGAGTTTTAGACTCTACCTATGAATTTCATCATGCCCATTTATTTCGTATCATTTTTTAAAAAATGAATTTCCACGTAAAACTCATCATCTTTGGCTAGTACTGCTTGTTTTAATCTGATAGGATTGTTATGTTTAATACTGCTTGTTTTAATCTATTGTTGGTTCTAATATCGTTTTTCGTTTTTTCGCCTTGTTATGGGGAAATCTAAATTGTTCTCCTGTATTCAACTAAATTACTCCAAGAAGTGTGACAAGCCATTATTTATGTGAATTAGTATCACGAAATTTGTTGATTGTAAATGGAAGTCAAAACTGGATGATTGTTGGTTGTGCTTAGAATTCATTGTCAATTGACCTCATTGTATTGGCAGGTATGGTATAATGGTCGTTCTATCGTTGGGATTATTTTATAAACAAGATTAGAAGGTTTATTCGAACTGCTTTATAACTTTTCTGGGCATGGTTCAATGATATGGCCTTACAGAAGAGATTAGACTATGGATTTCATGGCTATCAATTGCCCCCCACACCCCGAGCCGCCAGATCAGTCAGGGTAATCAATGATATCAATTGCTGTTGTATTTCTTGCCAGTGTCTATGAAATTAATGAAGAAAAAAAATAAAAAGGAAAGAAAGAAAGAAATTTCCTCTATTGATTTATCTCATTGGCTTCTTGTAGAGGCGGGGCTGCTTATTTAAGAGGAAAGCAGATGACCAGCAAATGTGCGCATTTGACTTGCTGGCAACTGTAGCTGGGAAGTTACTTTTCGATGGGGAAAATTGTCCTCCACCAGCGAACTCGTCTCCTGCAAAGGAGAGTGCAGCTGTAGTAGAAGAGAGTAATGCTATTACAAAAGAAGAAAAGGACGAAGATAAAGTATTAGAAGAAAAGGGAGATTCCTACGAAAGGAATTTTCTTCTTACTGAACTTGTCTCGGAGGTCCACAATCCTAATAACCTTGTGTGTGCTCATAATGGTGTTAAAACTTCAGATTGCGTGGGTCCCACGGCACAGTTGGTCAACGATGATTGTAAGCTCCGTCTTGGAATTTTTACTCCAGTGGATGTTGAGTCGTCAGGTTTTAGGCTTTCTAGTAATTGTGTGGCCGAGGATGAGAGTATGAAGAAGGTAAATATAGAGTCAGTGAATGATAGAAATTTGTCAATAAGTGATAAGGCTTTTCCGTATAGTTCAGGACATGTGGAGAATTCGGATAAAAAATCATCTGCATTAGTTTGTTCGGTTGATAATGTAAAGTTTCAATTTCCAAAGGACCAGTCTCCTTGTGGTTCTTTCCCTGTAAAGTTAGTTAGTAGGGATGATGACGAAAACTCTTCTGAGCCTAGCACTAGAAACAAGGCTATTCAGCCATCGCAGTGTTTGGGAGATGGTAGGTTTAGGAAGTCGCTACCGGCTAAGCATTGCAGAATAACTTCAAAGGATGAAGAACACTATACTGGTGGTGAGTAGCTACATTAATTTATGACCATAACTTGATTCGATGTGGTCATATTGCTTATTTGAGTTTCATGTTTTATCAATACAGAAAGTAGCAGTTGTCCCTCGAAAGATAGTGGTGTCAAGTGGCAAAGATCTCTGAGGGATTATCCTTTCAAAAAGAGAAAGCTCTATGGCTGTGGCTCGGTGCCTAATTCTGATGAAGGCATTATTAACACTGATCCAACATGTCAGGTGCCTGAAAGTGGTACCATTGGAGATGGACTCGTTTCTGGTCTTAATCAACCAGGAGGTAACTTTTCATATCACTCTAAAATTTTGACCAATATTTTAGATTTCATAAGTTGACACAAAAAATGCAGGGACCCCACCGCCGACTTCTGTACCTGGTGGACATATGTCCTTACATTCTCGAAATTCAAAATGTATGATAAGATTTTTACCTTTTTTGTGTAATTCTTCATACTTTATTCTTTTTCTTCTTTCTGTTGGGCCTCGTGTTCAATTTTTCGAGGTTCTCATGCTGTTTCTGTTTCATGCAGTGAAACTTAAGATCAAGTCTTTCAGGGTTCCCGAGTTACTTGTTGAGATTCCAGAAACTGCCACGGTTGGTTCTTTGAAGGTAATTCGATTGAGAATCGTTTCAACTATAGCATGTGACCACGTTATTGATGGCTTAAATAAATATTTATCCAGAGAAGAGTATTGGAAGCAGTGAATTCTGTTCTTGGAGGTGGACTGCGTGTCGGGGTGCTTCTTCAGGGTAAAAGAATTAGAGACGACAATAAAACTTTAGCGCAAACTGGAATTTCTCTTGATAAAAAGATGGACTTGCTGGGGTTTAGTCTCGAGCCCAGCTCCAATCCAGCCCCGAATCGACTTTATCCTGAAGATCGACCAAATGAAATGCTGTGTCAGAGTCCGCAACCCCTCCGAAGGTAATCTCCATTTACAAAAGTTGTACGGGGCCCCATTCATAATAACATCTTAAGGGGTTACAATATTTTCCGTAGATAACTGGGTCTCTTCTTTGCTCCCTTTTTTTTTTGGTTTTGTTTTGTTTGGTGCCTTCCAGGTACCCTCCCACTCCTAGGCAACCTCAAAGTAGCGGTGGGCAGCATCGCTTAGATGGTACTATTAGTTTTAACCATTTCATTGAAAGTGATCACAATTTGGGTCCTTCTCCCGGCTTGCAAAAAACGAGTTGCGAGTCGAAAGCACTCGTCCCTGTTACTGTACCCAGCTCAATAAAGCAAGATGCGCTGGCTGTCGTGCCTTTGCGCAAGTCAAAACGTTCCGAATCGGCTCAGCGCCGTATCCGTAGACCCTTTACTGTTGCCGAAGTTGAAGCTCTCGTCCAGGCTGTCGAGAAGCTTGGCACCGGAAGGTATATAATTTGAAACAATGAGTTTTTCTTTTTCACTTTTGTTTAATTTTGTTCACACCACTACTTTTAATAGCGCAGATGGCGTGATGTCAAGCTAAGAGCCTTTGACAGTGCAAAGCATAGGACTTACGTGGATTTGAAGGTAATGTCTGCATTCTGGTAGAATAGCTGATTAAGGTGTCAGTTTAAAACTTATTTTTCGGGATTTTGTTGATGCTTTAATAGGATAAGTGGAAAACCTTGGTTCACACAGCAAGAATATCCCCACAGCAGAGACGGGGGGAGCCCGTGCCCCAGGAACTCCTGGACCGAGTGCTGACGGCTCATGCTTATTGGTCACAGCAGCAGGCCAAGCAGCAGCTCAAGTCTCAGCCCGACACTTGCCTTCTCCTCTGAGAATGTTTCAAGTTTATCCTTTACTACCATATTGTAAAAAGATACAAGTTTAGTTTGTCAGGAAAATAGTATATTAGTTTACATAAGATTTTATGGGAAGATAATAGATAGCACATGTAAATGGGTGAAAGAAGGAGCTTTTTCCAGCTTGTTCATTTTTTTTCATGGGGAAGTTTTTTCTTACAGGGATTGGTTTTAGCTTTACCTTTTTTTTGTCTAGGATTGGGGTTTGACTGTAATAAGCTCATTGTTTTGTTGTCGATGATGGGATTCAATTTTGAGATTTTGGGATTCAATTTTTAATTCAATAGCAGTTCCAGCTTATACTGATTTTCATTTTTAGGCCTTGTTTGATAATTAACTGTTAGCGGACTGTTTTGACAAGTAGATTACATTAGCTGTTTTGATCAGCGGATTGCATTAGCTGTTTTGACCAGCTGATTGTGTTTGCGGTTTGTCTTTCTGGGTAGCTTTTGTCTACCAAGTAATATTTATATTACCTAAACGCACACAAGTTATACTACAATTAAAATTATATCTAAGACATGTGAGTGTGTGTGTGCAACAATGCATATATATCATAAGTACAAGATACCTGATGGAGGTTTTGTAAAATTTAGATTTGGATTACTGAACGTATCAAGAAAAGTACGAGTATCATGTGTTGATCCCTCCCATCCTGTTAAAACATATGTGAACAGCAAATCGAAGTTATACACTGCTAGATCATTTGTAGTTGGTATCCCTTTTCTTCCCATGTAACGGATTTGATCCTCTTCAGGTACAGTTATTGCAATATGTGTATCATCAATAGCTCCAATACGTGTGAGGAGCTTACGCGAAGAGGTCGTTACAGGACCGAGCTTGTGTTGAGAAAGTATGTCATACTGACTGTAACACCCGCTTATCAGAGTCAATTTTTCGCAATTTCTTAATATTGAAAGTACTTATAAATTTTTTAAAATCTTCTTAACTTAGCTCGGTATGCTACTAAAACTTATCTTTTTTAAAATCTGTCTTCTCAAAACTTGATCTAACAACTGATTAGATATAATAAAACAAATTTTAATTATCGAACATGTATGAAAACTGAACTTGATAAAACTTTTAAATTTGAAAATACTATGACATATGTTCAATATCTGAAAAAACGTAGCGGAAATCTTATAAGCATGGTATAATACAAACCGGAACCTTATTAAAAGTCCATAATATAATAAATGAACCAAATTCTCGATCCACACCACCATAGCTGATCTCACACCTCTGCACTGATGTTACCTGAAAATGATAATAGTGGCGTGAGTACTAATCCATTGTACTCCGTAAAAACTCATATTAAAGTAAACAGTAATTATAATATCAATATCATGATCTTTGGTATATATCTGAGCTTAATCTTTCGGTATCTGACCGATAACTTTAACTTGCACTTTGCAACTACCGGTAACTTGGGCTGGTTCTCACATGATCACATTCTGGGGGTTGCCTCCCTCAGAACCCAGTCTCGACTGGGTGAGCTTAATTCTTTGCTTAACTTTAGGATGGCATATTAAGGCCTTGACCTCCACCCTAAACTTAAAACTTTATACATACCTCGAACATGGTAATAGCTATTATACTCAATGTAATACCCAGTCTGGGTCCCCACCTTTCTTTCTTGAAAACTTTTGAAAACTGTAAGTGCTGTACTGCTAGTTGTATCTGCAACTACATAAAAATATAAACAAATTTACTAAGTACTATGCTCATAATATTCTCATAGGATGTTGAGATTCTTAACTTTAACTGATAACTTATCCGAATCATAAATATAATTTCGGCTATAGCTCAAATGAACATTGATTCATTGAACATCTTAAATTCTTAAACTTTTACTTAATACCAAACTTAAATCATATGAATCATGATTTTGAAACTTAGATGTTGGTATAAACTCATATACCATGTAATAACTTAAAAGTGAAATAAACTAAATTCCACATACATAAATTCATGATTCAAACTCATCTTAAACTTACTTAGAAATAAAAATTGTAACGTAAAACTCATCAAAACCATATTATAATATCAATATACTATTCTTGAAACAATTCATAGAATTGTCTTCTTAACACATTCAACTAAAACTCAATCAATCCCCCCTATATATTAATACAGAACGCGCTGAGCCTACGTGGCTGCTTCTGGTGCTTCGGAATCCTATGTGGCAAAATTACATGTTTCATTATTAGGCTTGGGTAAATTTTAATTTAATTTCAAACCAAAAATAATTAGGTTCGGATTACCATAAAAAATCTTTTCTCATTTCTACAAGTTAATACAACAATATAATAATTGCAAGACTCCATCTTGTCATTATTATATTATTATCATTATTATTTAATTTTTAATCTTTTCTCATTTCTACAAGTAAACATATATATTATATTTAATATTCTCCTTTCATATAATAATCATATTATTATATGGATTTGAATTTTAAAATCCAATTTTAAAATCCAACTATTAATTTAGTAATTACATTAGTCACTAAATTAATATTAATCAATCCAAGTGATTAATTTAATATATTTCTTTAATTGACATCTAATCAAAATTAGATTCTGTCAATTAATTCTAACTCTTTAGAAATACTAATATTTGTCTCTATACAAACATTGGTGTGACCTTTTAGGTTCACAATTAATACTAGTAGTGGGTTTACAACTCTTTGTAATTTGAGTTAATCTTATTAACTCTTATTCTTGAATTAACCCCTTTAATTCAAGAACCCACATATCATGGGAACACCTAGCAAGTATCATGAATCTAGTATTAAGTGAATAGCGAGTAAACCTATTTCGATTACAAATACATACATGTAGAATCCTTTCGACATCCAATTTCCCGATTAAATCGTGGGTATAATTTTAGTTGAAACCCAAATTGATTTAATAACTATGATTCTATTTCATATTTAGTAATTCGTGTATGAATCTCTATTCATCTCGCCTTGGCCAAGGACTTTGAATTACTAACTATGAAACACATAGGAAATTCACTTATCTTCATAAGTGTCGAATCCTTTGTAGGCCACTAACAAACTTCCATACATATTAACATAATTCCCAAAATATCCCTTTATACGATTGTGCTAGCAACCAAAAGGATAAATCAAAGTAGAATGTAATATGCACAAAGTTACCATTGTGCCTCAAGTCTTAGGATTAGTCATGTACTATTGTAACATGAAAATACTTATTCGACAAGACAAATCTTTCATTAAGTATTTTCATACGGTCATGTTCAGTGTACTTGTTCTCTAACAAGCACCCACATATATGTATTTGCGTCGCACGCTAATGTTGATGGAATGCAACATTCTTGTCCAACAAGCATACATACTATGTGCAAGTCTTTTATGGATTATTTGATATCCCATTTCAAAACATCCTTCGACTTGGAACTTTATTTAAAATCACAGCTTTCAAGGTATGTTCCATGATCACCATCTCTATGCGCAACCATACCTTATAACCATAAGTGATTTAGGGATTTTATCTTAAGTGCGATTATAGGATAAAAACTTACTCTTAAGATAAAGTAATGTCTTATTTACAATATAATTCCAATAGATAGTATTTACAAGTAGAATACGTCCAATCCGATTGGAACGCCGGGTATCCTACTCTAACACTCACTCTCTCAAATGAACTTATATAACTTTGAAATATTTCTTGGTGTAAAAATTCAGATTTTAAGCCCACTATTTATAGGCAAAAATTTCAATATAATATAATGGAGTGAAGAAATCAACAATATAAATAATTAAAACTTATAAAACTTAATCATCATAAACATATCAATTTCTAACTTGTAGAAATCATCCATACTTAAATTAAGTGCTTAAAATAAACTATAGTTGGCACCAAACTCGAATCATAAAAATCTGAAATTTCTGTCGGTCACACGACCCGTGTGACAAGTCACACGACCCGTGTGATGTTACACGACCAGTGTGACTTGAGTCACACGACCCGTGTGATCTCACACGACCAGTGTGGCTTTGAGTCACACGACTCGTGTAAAAATTCTGAAACTGAACTTGAACAGTGCCTTGAGCCACACGACCCGTGTGGCTTGTCACACGACCCGTGTGGCTTGTCACACGACCCGTGTGACTTTAAAACTTCAAAATCTTAACTTATTTGGCCCCAAAAATAGCTCAATCTTGAAGATAAACTGATACTTAATACTAATAACTAAATGGGATATTACAATCTACCCCCCTTAAAACTATTTCTGTCCTCGGAAATACTGGAACTGGGATACATACTATCTGAGTATATATTAAAACTTAAAATCTGGAACTCTAACATCAGCTTATCACTCCCAAATGGCATCTTATTCTCCGTGGCAATTCCATTTTATACGAACGAGGGGAATATATCGATTCCTTAGCCGATGAACTTTTTGGTCCAAAACAGATACCGACGGTTCCTCGTAAGTTAAAACTTGCTGAATCTAAATCTCATTGTGCTAAAGCACATGATTTGGATCGCTCACGTATACACGTATCATCAATATGTAAAAACATTACACATACTAACCAACTTGGGAGGTAAATCTAAATGTTTGAATACTTCTTCTACTCGTTCAAAGAACTTTGAACGGACTTATACAACAAGAATGCAACTTACCTTTCTTCCCAAAACGAACGACACTTCTCATTAGTCGAACTTTCAGAAAGACTTTATCTTCAATCTCTAAATGCATTGCTCGTCCATGCTTATCAACTAAAAACTTCTGCCAATTATGAGCAGTCTTGAACCTTTCTTGAATCCAGGCTACATACTTGACTATTTCCTCAATCAACTTCCATTATGGTAACGCCAAACACTTTTGGACTTGTCACTTATGACTCGGAACATGACTATGTGGCACTTTGCATGCAATGTACCCACTACCCGGGGCCCTTCGGGTGAGGAACATTTACATGCGTGTACCTACAATGTCAA